CATTTGTTGCCCACTTAGAAAGATTACATGAGACTGCATAGACAATACAATTAGCAAGGCAACTGTCCCCACACACACGAAAAAAAATGTTTGATGGTGATATCTTTTCTATCCCTTCAAAAATCAAATGCAACCAACCTACTTTGTGGAAAAATTTCAAACTTGTGGCGACATAAATCAAACTGAGTATACGAATATTATATAATTTCTGAAATGGTATGGCATTTCTCTAAATAGTAATTGAGAATTTTCTTACAGGTTTTATACAAATAGATCTTATTACTGTAGAATCTTGTGAATTTAGTTAGCCATTGAGGCTCAACCTCTGATTCCTGTCATTTGTAAATGAAACCAAAAGCAATAACTTTATAACTTCCATCACCCAATGAGGCAATGAAGATATCTCCTTATTCTATAGTCCTTCTGTTAAAAATGCCTCAAGGGATAAAACCCTGCATTTCAACACTGTCTGTGAGGAAGAAAGATTTTTTGCTAAGATTTATTCTTCATCCAATATGTAAATTGCTTAGCAGCAATTAAAATACTGGTGGAGGTACATATTTTTCATTTCAATGTGAGAGGCCTGTTGAGTGGTGGTCACATTTTTAAAATAGCTGATTTGACAGGGGAATTCTCATCACACTCCTAAAATAATTTTATGCTATTGTGATTTTGTTTGTGGTTTCCTTTCTTCAAAATTGAAGCAATATACTCAACTAGAATCCATCAGGACCATAAAAGCTTTTTAAAATGTCCATATAATTTGTAATTTCTGGGTTTTTTTTAATGATGTCAAAGCTTATTTCTTTTGCACCGTTAAGTTTTATGATTCAGAAAAACAAAAAGTATTTGCAAAACATCCAGCAAATATTTATAAAACACCTACCATGTATCAGGACTAGTTCTGGTTACCAGGGATATTACAATAAACAAAACAAAGAAGAACCCCTCAAGGACGGGCTGGGGAGAGGAAGGATTTATGTTGAGTCAGACTACAAACGAATAAAAATGTGTAAGTAAGGAAGATATAATTGCTACAATGGAGTTAAAAGAACTAGATAGAGATACCTGAAAATGAGGGGTTGATTCTGGATGATCAAGGAAACAGTCTCTGAGGAAGCATTATTCAATTGAGATTTTAATGGTGAAGGGCTCTACCCCACAGTGTTTCTGGGAAGACTGCCTCCTGCATGAGAAAGCAAAGTTCTGGATAATGGATACCAGCTCACTGTTTTCCTAAGAGAAGGTCAGTGTAAATGGAGAAGAAAAACACTAGGGAGCGTGGGAGCAAGAATGGGCTACAGGCAAAGTATAAGGCATAGAAGACAAAAGGTTAGGTCTGTTCTAAACTTTGAAGAACTAAAAAACATGGAGACATGGAGGTGTTAAGCAGAACAGCGGCACAATCTGTTCTACTGTTTTCAAAGTTGACCCCACCTGCTATGTGGAGAGTGCAGCAATAGTAGAAAGGCCCTCCTGACTTGACCCACATGTTCAGTGACCTAGAAGAGACTGAAAAAGGATTGAGCTCTACTGACATTGTCAACTGGAGCACCTACATGTGGCTGCTCCAGCGGGATAGCCTCAGGGTAGTCATACTTCTTAACCTGAAGACACTAAAGACCATATTCTAGAAACAAGGCAGCAGGCCCTTGGCCTTTTATGACCCAGACTCAGAAGTCAGTGTCAGTTCTACTATGCCACATTAGTCAAAGCAGTAACAAGCCCTCCCAGATCAAGCAAACAGGAAGACAGAGAAGGGTCAAAAATTTGTGGCCATGTTTTAAAGCTGCATAGAGTATAAAGCTTTTTTTTTTTTAAAGATTTATTTATTTGCACATACAGAAGTGGGGTACAGGTCAGAGGCTCAGGGGCGGCGAGAGGCTTCACCAGAGACAGAGTGGGGAACAGAATAGGCAGATCAACAAAGTACACTGCTGAGGGGAGCAGAGGGCGGGTCAGGAGAGGTCTGCCACGCCAAGTATAAAGTTTTTTAAAGAATAAAGCAAACTCCCTTTATCTTTTACATTAATTTTGTTTGTAATGTTTTATATGCATGTATTTTTAATTATGTAAATTTTCATTGCTTTGTAATTGATTTTTAAGTTATTTTCAAAGTGTATATGTATAAAATCAAGAACATTATTAATTAATATAGTTGAAAAAATTACTTTATGGTCTTCAGGTACTTTATTAATTAATATAGTTGGAAAAATTACTTTATGGTCTTCAGGTACTTTCATGTTGTGATTATATTAATTTAACTTAATTCCTTTTTTCAAAGATTTATTTATTTATAATATAAGAACTGGGTACAGGCCAGAGGTGGGGGGTGAGAGGATTCACCAGAGACAAGAGTGGGGAGCAGAACAGGCTAAATGACAAATATACTGCTGAGGGGACAGTGGGCGGGTCAGGAAAGGTCTGCCATGCCATGTGGGTCATCTCCCTGGCCAGAGATTGAACTCCTGCTGCAGTGGCTTCGAGAGCTTCATGGTGCTGTGTTTTAATCTGTTGTGCCACCAGGGAGAGCCCCATTTAACTTAATTCTTAGTACTTTAAATCCTTAAATTTTTATCAGTGACACATTTGAAAATTCACCTACAAATTCAGGCTGAACCATATATTTAATTATGCAGTTGCTGTGTGAAAGAAAAAAAATGGAAATCTGATTAAGCAGTTCTTGCTTAGTGCTTTACCACATTTCTGGCTCATTTTTCCAAAATGAACTGAAATACAGTAAATTATATATGACTTGTATGGTTAATAGTTCCTTTCAGATCTTCAAATTTTGCTTGAATGTTGAATAATTTGATTCATTTCATAACTGGTTTTTGTAACACTCTTTTACAATGTCTTGAATGACAAAGTTAAGAAAAAGTGTCATCACATAATAGCAACAAAAAGACTTAATTAGTAATTATAATAAAGGGCATTCTCATGCTTCATTGAGAGGAAAGGACATTTAAACATATGCTGCAAACAATAAATGCTAAATGATGTTCATCTCACATTCTAAAAATAGCAACTGAGATCTTAGTTATTTTCTCTGTTTCCAGTATTTTATTTTGAAAACTGGTTTTGTCATCTATCTGGGTGTGGAACTGTGAATGCTGTGCAGAGCAAAGTAAATTGAGTAAGTTATATGACATACTTCACAGTGATCTTGAACTTTTCTGTTTATCTTGTTCATCTTTCTCCTTTTTCATAGTCAAAAATAATTTCAGTAGAAGACTTTGGACAAGAATCATTATTTAATGCAGTTAATAACAATGAAAGCAGGATGTGTATCATCCTTTTTTCCCCCCACTATTTTATCTTCAACAATAAACACTGTGCCTTGCATGTAGTAGTATTTGTGAATATTAACTGAAGAATGATTTGGGGACAGGCAAAAAGATATTTTATCAGCCTGCCTCTATTGAATACAGAGAAGTTCTTTTTCACAGAGGTTTGTTTGTGGAGAAGCTCCTTCTTTTTCAGTGTCTATTTCCTGCCAGTCATACAACCCAAAGAATGGGCTAGAGAAGTCGAGCCCTTGAGTCCATTTACCACTGAACTTTATTACTAGAGATAATTTGAGATCTCATGACTTTCTAGAGACTAAGAGTTCCCCAATCCCCAAAGGCCAAGCCAAACTTATCTTTGAATATCACCAGTTAAGTCAATGTTCAGAATGCTACTACAGCCATCCAGGAGACCACAGCACATATTGAAATGGTTTCACAGAGAGGCCATGTGTCAGAACCTAGGTCTTATGATGTGGAAACACTAGTAATTTATAGATGTTCAGCAGCTGGAGGACATTTATGCATTTTTGCATTCAGGATCAAACACCAATACAGATAAACTCTAAAACTATACTCTCCAATGTGATTGGAATAGGCATAAGTAGATATTTAATTTCAAATTCATTAATTAAAGTAAAATAAAACTGAAAATTCAGTTTCCCAATAGTATTAGCCACATTTCAAATGCTCAATAGTTCTATATATCTGTGGCTACCATGTTCAACAATGCAAATACTAGACAATTGAGTACTGAATGACACTACTCTAAAATATATCACATATATGAAACATTGTAGAAATTTAAAGCTGGAAATCCAAGTCTACACTTCTTTCCTCTTCAACGATCCTGGGTTTTTAAATATTTTTATTTATCTACATGGTTGACAGTCCTGCTTAAATCTTTTTGAAAAACAAAAATTATTTCCCTGATTAGTCTCTGTGAAATATACCGAAACAAAATAAGGAATACCTGTTATCCAAAACACAGGGTTATATTTCTGAAATTCAGTTGGGGGGAGCAGCCCTATACAATCTGTTTAAAGTCTAAATTATAGATGATTTATGAAGAATATTCAACTAGTTAAATTGCATCAAAAGCTAAAATGGAAAACTAAAAATCTTGCCAAATTAAAGTCATAATAGACCCAATTTGATACATAATTCAGAATAACTTCTAACTCACTTATGGCTATATACAAACTAGATGAGAAATGTATTGCTAAAAAGAGTTTGCTTTTCTTAATAACTTTAGTTTTCTCCCTGAGATACTACTTCTTCATAAATTTGCTCCCTCTATAGTGGATGCCCAATTCCTTTTTAAATTATCTTAAATCTCTATTAGTGGTTACTAAATTAAAGAGAACCTACATATAATATAACCATAACATGTATTAAAGTTATGCAATATATTTTTTATTTAGGTTAAAATATATATATTCACACATATAATGTTGTAAAAACAAATAACTGAATATTTACAAATAGAAAGACAAACTATTCTCTTTTATACTCAGCATATACAAATCTGTACTGTCTCCTAAAGATGCACTGGAATTTTGGTAAATAATACCATTTTTTATTGAAGTGTGTATTCAAAGATTTCCATTGTATCCTTTCTCCTAGGATCCCAAAATGATACACTTTGATAATAATTTAGTTTCTTGTTGTTTTTCCAACTGAATAAAAAGAGACTCTCTTTTTCTACTTCAGAAGCTGTTCTGGAAATAGAGTAACAACGGATGAAGGGACAGAAACCAGTACCTGGCGAGCCACAGTAAGGCAAAAGCAAGAACCTGTGTCCTGATTCCAAAAGCCAGCCAAGTCTAAATGTAAGTGTGAGAACCTGGGGGGCGGCAATGGCAAGTCATCACAAGAATAGGAAGTCAGAAGTAGCTTGTAAACAGGGGCAGTTGGCAGATATTTGGCTATCTGGCCTGCCTGCAGGTCCTATCTTTCATCTCCATCTCCACTGCTGCAAAAGCCTTGAGACCACTGCTACTAATGCCAGCTTTTTAAATCCCCCACACTAAAATACATGTGCAAAGTGTGATTCTAACTGATTTTTAAGTCCAGGCATGTTGAACAGAGTTTTAAAATAATCATTTCCATAGGACCTGACTAGGTATCCAAGTGTTCACCAGATGCTAGCAGCTAAGATTCTGCAGAGGAAAATTGCTAAGTTAAGCTTCTTTTCATGATTCAGCAGAGGGTTTTAAGTAATAAAAGATCTGGAGATTTGTAGAATAAATAATTCCAGTGCAATTGGGAAAATTAAAATAATCTTATCATCTCCCAGTCATGTCTACATGTGCTTTTCTACCATTATCAAATTTCTCTTAATTGGGCCAATTTTTCTGGCTGATATTTTATAGGTTTAAGTTATAAGTTGTAATGAAGAAATGATTCCTTTCAGATGACTGATGTGACATGTACTAAATGTTCCTAACAGCAATCATGGTATGAAGCAGACCATGCTACAACTATGGTTTTATTCACATATGATATTGAATATATCCAAAATGGAAAAAAATAACAGCCTGCCAAAATTATTCCTCAGTTGATCTCTAAGTAGAAACAAAATTAAAATACAAAGTACATCATTAACTTTTGAACTCTGATGGGAAGAAATAAAACATCCATCGCTGACGAGCAGACATTATCTCATAGTACCCACAGCCATCCTAGGCTATTACCAATGCCTGGTCTTAAGTGTGACTTTTGGACACACAATTCAATTATTTCCTAACATATATAACAGTATAATGTCCTCATATGGTCTATTTAATTTTATTTACTAATTTAAAGAATGAATAGTTAAGATTCCTCAGATCTTTGTTTTTTTGCTAGGGATACATATAAAAAATAGCACAGCATGTAATCCTATAGTTAATGCCATATGACTGCATCCTGTCTAGAATGAATCCATTTGGAGTTCCCAAGAAATGCAAATACATTAATGATTTTCTTAAGGTATCACATTTTTACTTGAGTACCACCAACTCTCTTGACTAGACTCCAATTAGGTCAGATGTTAATCAAATAAAACATTTATAACACAAAATTGCTAAATAAAATTTATGTTCATTTAGAAAACAGATTATAGAATTCAAACTGATCAACTCTTTTGGAAAAAGTGATAAAAAGGGGTTTGGGTTACATTTATAACTTGGGTTACATTTATAATGGCCGAGTAAGGCTCTTAACTCAATTCAGATAAAATTTGTAATTGATGCAACGAACAACAGGGTCAGTTTCTGGATTTCTTGTAACAAAATCTTGCTGCCAGGGGCATTGTGGGTTCACCCAGTAAAAAGTTACAATAGCAACTTAAAATAAATCATTTTAAAAAAGTAGAAGGTAAAGGAGAAGAACTGCCTATTAAGTCATGGGGGAAATATCAAAAATATATTTTACTGTATTTTTAAAAAATTAAGTTTTGTTTTTAAACTAGGGTGAAAAAGCAATAAAATGTAAAGATTACTCAATAAACCATTTCATTCAGTGATCAACAGCAGTGATAGAGCAAATGAAAATAAAAGTTAACATTTATTCAACATGATCACCAGTTCAGGCAGGTCCAAAGTTCATACATGATACTTCTCTAATAACAACCAGTTGAGAGTCATATTTAACAAAAATTTTTGATTGAAAACAGTAAAAAACTTTTTGGTGATATGTCTTCTCGTTGCAAATGAACTTACTTAGTTTACCCTTATTTTCACATAGTTTAAACAATAAATGAGTTGTGTGGTTCTTAAGTTCTATGAAGAAATTCACTTAAAAAGAAAATAAAAGGAGAAAGTGACCAAAAAAACTAAATATGAAAACCATGAGCAGATTTTAATTCTGAAAATAGAAATATTGTGATAATCCTCTATGTGCCTTCCCAAAATAAAGAATATAACTTTTAAAACTATTTTTGAGTAATCTGAAATTTCCTTTCTGATTACCTTCTTACCTTGTGAAAATATAAATTCCTGAATCATATATCATAGATATTTTAGTAGGCAAAAACCATATTTTCATCAGGTTAAACAACATATTTCAAAAAAGACAATTAACAAAGAAACAAACTCCTTTTGCTTATTAAAATGGCTAAAGTGCCTTATGCACAGTAAGTACTAAGTAATGAGTACTTAGTATTCATTTTCATTCTCATTTTCTGTTCAGCAATAATGTGTCTCTTGCATTCACACTAGGAAGGTAGTGTCTCACATATGGGAATTAATGAGCTACATCTGTAACCAAAAATATCCATGGAAAACCTGCTGAATTGATCCATATCTGTTTTATTAATCCAGTCCACTATGGAAGGGCTTTCTTGTGGTTGTACTATATTTTAGAGATAAATAGAATAGGGAAACCACAGTTCAGTTTAGAAGTTGTTTGAAACTCTGAAGAATGTGAGTTTTTATATAATATGACAGCAATAAAGACCAATTCTTAATGGTTGTCATTCTGATATGTAAGTACATAAATACCCTGTATATTTAATTTTACTGCAGAACATTATGACAGTGGCCAAGAAGACCCTGACTAATCAGTATGGAATTTACTCCTAACTGCCACTTTCTTCCTTCCTCTATTTTTTAAATAAAAAGAATTGGGGAGGATTTTTTTTTTTTTAAGCTAACTTGGTATAACAGCCTTTAGTTGAAGCAGATGGTTGGAAGTCAGAAGCTCCAGATTTTATCCTTAATTCTCCTACCAACTTAGAATGTGGCCTTGGATGAGTCATGAGAGTAAGTCTACAATAAAAAGGGTAAGAATGACTTACATGTGTATAGGACCTTATGATAAAACAGAACACTTTCACATATTGTATCTTATTTGATCTCCCCTACAACCTCCTGTCAGGAGTATAGCAGTTATTAACAACCTCCATTATTAGAAAGTAGGGATCTGAGAACCAGGGAATCTAAATCATTTGTTCAGAAATACATCAATATTAAATGTCAGAGCCAGGAAAAGTCATATATTGTGACTTCACGCTGATCTTAGTCTCCTTTCCTCTTCATCACACTGTCACTCTGGTGCTTTCAGTAAGGATACCAGAGCTGCACTGTCTAACGTAGTAAATGTGAGCCACATGTAAGCCTGAGCCAGACCCAGTGAGATGTACTGTGGGTGCAAACTACACACCAGTTTCTAAGACTGTAAGTGAAAATAATGTCAAGTATATCACTGATACTTTCTTTTTAAGATTTATTTATTTATGCTTACAGAACTGGGGTACAGGCCAGAGGTCTGGTGGGTGAGAGGATTCACCAGAGACAGAGTGGGAAACCATACAGGCAGATTGACAAAGTACACTTCTAGAGTAGTAGTGGGCAGGTCAGAAGAGGTCTGCCGCACCATGTGGGTCAGCTCCATGGCAAGGGTTAGAACTCATGCTGCCGTGGCTTCATCATGCAGTGCTTTAACCTGTTGCACCACCAGGGAGAGCCTTCACTGATACTTTTTACATTTACAAACATTAAAATGATATTTTGGATAACAAGTTAAATAAAATATTTGATTAAAATTAATCTGACCTGTATCTTTTAACGTGTTTATGTAGCCACTAGGAAATCAAAGGTCACCTACCTGATTCACGTAGTTTCTCTTGAAGAGCGCTAGATTAGGGGATTCCAATCTTCAAAACCCACAGCACAGATTTTACAGTATTAAATTCATTTAAGCACCTATCTTGATGTAGCTGAGACAAGTTCCCAAAGATTCTGTCAAACAGAGAAACATATTAGAAGCAAGAATTGGGTCATTCTCACCTATCTTTCCACATGTAGGAGAAAAGTCAGACTTTATTAGTTAATACCTCAAGTTTCTGACTCATTACCAGGGCTCATTTTATACTTGCTAAATGCTTGAAGGTTAAAAGTGAAAGTACCATAAGAAGTAGAAATCATAATTACAACTCTGAAATTTTAAAATATGCTCTTACATCTTATTTTACAATATGTCCCCATTAACAATCGAAGTGAGTGATATGTTAAGTAATACACAATAGGTAATTAGGTAATAAAAATAATAAGTATATATAAATTTGTCATAAAATATAGTATACTTTCTGCTAACAGTTCTTTTTTTTTTTAAGATTTATTTATTTATGCATACAGAACTGGGGTACAGTCCAGAGGTGCAGGGGCAGTGAGAGGATTCACCAGAGATAGAGTGGGGAGCAGAACAGGTAGAGTGACAAAGTTCACTGATGAGAGGAGCAGTGGGCGGGTCAGGAGAGGTCTGCTGAACCATGTGGTCACCTCCGGAGCAGGCAGGGATCTAATTCATGTGGAAGTAGCTTTGGCTACTTAATGCTTTGCTTTAACCAGCTGCGCCACCAGGGAGAGCCTCTTTTAGATATTTTAGACATAATCCCTAAAGTGGTTTATGAAAAATCTATGTATTCAGGGGGGAAAAAATGGTTTCCTATTTAGTAAAAAAGAACCCAAAAAACTGAAAGTCAATCTACCTGGCATTTTCTATGTGGACTAAAACATAGCCTAAAAGTTAGATTACTTCATTGAAGGATTTGAAATTTAGCAATAGGGAGCAGAACCTAAGCTCACACCATTACTACTGCTACTTCAACGCTATTTGAAGTCACAACAGACAGTCTCAGAATATTTAGGGCTGATGCCTTTTATTCATTCCAAGTCCACAAGTGTTTTTCTGTCAAATACAATGAACCAAGAACTGTTCTAGACACTGAGCAGATAGTAAACAGTAAGACCAGAGAGCTGTGTTCAAATAGTGTACAAAGCAATATTTAAAAGAAAATCTCAAAGTACAAGTGTAACATGTTGCCAATTTCTTAATATTCATGCTTACC